GAGGTTTCTGAGACTGTGAGGTTTCAGAGGTTTGGTAGTGCTGATCTATCCGAATGTTTAAGAAGATGAGATTGAGGTCGCTTATCCCTCAGATCGTTCAAGTTATCTATCTCAGATCTTTGTCCATGTTCTCAGTTGGAGCTGTGACACTTGCAGGCTCTTATTTAAGCTCAGATGTGCTACTTCTTGGCTCTTATTTGAGTCAAGATTCAAGAAGTAGCAGATGTCATTTATTCTCATAGCTTCTCTTTGCCATGAACCTTGCATGTCAAGCTGTCTCTCTCTCTATCTGGTTTGTTTTGTTTTTTGGTACATGAAGTGTTGTCGTGAGAAGAGTTGGTGGTGTGAGCTTGAACACAGAGGAGTCATGGCATTGTGGTAGTGGTGCCTTGTCGTGTAACGTCTGGTGCCTTGTAGTGCAACGTCTTTTTCTCGATTCTCTATCCACCAAATCATCATTTCCTTTTGTCTTTGTGTTCTAAACAATATGTATTGACTTTGTATGTTATAAAACTCATCGTTGAGTTTGTTAGTTGTCTTTTGTTCCAAACTCTGTTTTTAAACACTTAAAACTATTGTTCAGATAAATTATAAATAAAAGTATAATTCTGTACCCTAAACTCTATTTCATAAACCATAGTTCCAATTCACATACCCCAAACATTAATAAATTTAAAATTTAAATCTAAAGTTAAATTCGTAAACTTTATTGGTGTTAGTGTAGGATTATATGTAAAATGTATGTTTTATGAATTTAATGCAATGCTTATTTTGGTTATACTAATAACAAGTTAAAAAAAAAGAAAACCCAACACTAATGATAAATTAGAAAAAAAATTTACCTTATGTTCTAAACCCTAAACATGCCCTAAACCCCAACTACATATCTTAAACCCTATAATCTCAAATCCTATATCTTAAATTCCATTTTATTCATAAATCTTCAATTTTAAACATTTTAATCCATACACTCAAATATCATACAGAAATATTCAAATTTAAACATTATAATACAAACCCTATATATACTTCTAACCCTACTTATAGCTCCAAACCCTATATCATATTCCAAACCCTATATAAGAAATATTAAATCATAACATTTTAAATTTATAGCACTTATTTTATACTAAATTATGAAATTATATAAACTATAAAATTTAAATAAATGAGTATATTCATAATATAAATTCAATCCCTAAACTCCTACCACATACTTCATATTGATTTATATCATAAAACATTAAATCTGAATTTTTAATATTTTAGTCAATCACAAAATTTTAAAATTTAAATACAAAATACATATTAAAATTTTTAAATTATGATATCAAATTATTTAAAGTTTAAATAATTGTATAACAATTATAAAGAAAAAAAGAAGATAATATGTACTGTTTTTTCAGAGCCACTGATTGATTTTTAAATCAAAGGTCCACAATCAATCCCTATCTATCTCCGCCTTTGTTTTCTATTGGTTGGACTCGGATCAACTTCGGCACCGTTAGATCATACTGAATCAACGCTTCAGATTGTTACTTTCTTTTTCAATTATTTTCTCAGCGTTCCAGAGAGAGGTAAAAAAATGAGAGAGAGAGAGAGAGAGAGAGAGAGAGAGAGAGAGAGAGAGGCGAGTGGGGGTATGCTGTGCTCGAAACCCTAGCAAAGCTCCGCCTCCTTCTCTTCTTCTTCCTCGTCGGCCACCTTCTCTTCTTCTTCCTCGTCGGCCTCCTTCTCTTATTCTTTCTCTAAACTCTCTGGTTCTCGAAATCTGATAGATTAAGGTTCTCTGATTTTGTTGTTGTGTTTAATCGTCTTCACCGGAGTTGCACCACCACCGTCACTGATAACTTCTCTGTCTCTCAAGCTATGCCTCTCATTCTCTCTGTTTTTTTTGGTCTTGTTGTAGTAAATTTTTATGCTTTTTACGGTTTGATTTGAAGTTAAAGTTTGTTTCCTTAATTATTTGTTCCTTGTAAAGGTGATGGTCGTGACTCGTGAGGAAGAGTTGGTGTTGTGCAGAGGAGATGTCTCGAACTCGCCTCAGTCTAGACTCACACGAATGTTGCAGTCTCTCACTGGAATGCCAAGATCATTCTTTGAAGGTATTGTGAGAGTAAAAACTGAGACTTTCTTCTTCTCAGAGTTTTGCTTATATCTGAGTCAGCATTATCATTCTCTCTGTGTTTTGTTCTTTGCTTGATTTTCTTTTCCTGGTTTGTGTCAAACTCGATAGTAATTGGTGGGGTTTCTGTGTATTCATCCTTAGAACTTGATTATTCAGGTTGTTGGAAGATAAATTTAGTTTCTTTACTATGAATTGCTGTCTTTAGTAACCTCTGTTCAGTATTTAGTTCTGCAAAAGGGTTGTCTTTTTTATTAATTTTACTGATTGAAGTTGAACTGAGATTGTGATTTGAAGTTGGAGATTTTTCTTATGTTTAATCCGTGTTTTTTTCTCTGTGTTAATTCAGAAAAATGTGAGATGGATGCTTGTGTCATTGCTTACTTGACTTCGGATATCCTTTGAAATCATTTTTATTGCTATACTTGAGATAAATAATGTTGTCATCCTTACTGGTTTAATCCTCAAACATACTTGACGTTGGATGTTCCTTGTTTCAGTTTGGATCGCTATACTTTTTTGTTCCAATATCTATGTTAATTTGGAGAATTTGAGAGCATGACATTCTCATTATTTCATTTTTTTTTCTCCTTTCACAGGGTTTTGACGAGTACATGAACCTACTGTTGGATGAAGCTGAAGAAGTAAGCATCAAGAAGAACACTAGGAAACAACTTGGTCAGTTTATCCTTGACTCACTATTTGATGACCGAGCCGAGCTTCTTCAGATCTTGTCTCATGCTAATGCTTAACTTTCCAGATGATGTAAGAGAACACAGGCTTAAGGAGATGGCAGAGAAAGCTAGTGGTGGTGGTGGTGTAGGTGAAGCTGAACACGAAGAGAAGAAAGAGACGTAGAGCTGTAGATTTTGGTTTATTAAGTTTTGTTTAAATTTTTTAGTTATTAAATTTTTGGTTTATTTAGGTTTGGTTAATTAGGTTTTGGTTTAATTTTATAGGTTTAATGTATAAACTGATTTTATTTGTAAAAAAAGTTTAATTACTGAATAAAATTTAATAATTTAATTTTTATTACAAATTTAATATAATTAATAAATATTTGGATAATTTAATTTTTTTGTATTATTTTCAAAATAAAATATTAAATTAAATTTGTCATAAATGAAATGAAACAATTACATTTTAAAAAAGCAATGAAAAATTCAAATAGTGCTATTGATAGAACACTACAATAGTAGTTAAAACATGCTACAGTAAAATTAAAAAACTGATAGTAAAAATGTTATAATAAGATTTTAGAGACGCTATTAAAAAAAATTACAATTGCATAAACGAAAACGCTATTACTATAATAATATCAATAGCGGATAACAAAACCGCTATCTAATGGACCAGACCTATTATCGCGGGCGATGTTGGAGCGCTTTCTACAACGCTATGGTATCGTACAATAGCGATTTTCGGGTGTTGTTAAAACCCTTATTTCTTGTAGTGTTATCAACTCTCTCTCAAGAGCTTGGATGTCTTGAGCTTCAGGTAAGAGGTTTGCAACTCCTCTATTTCTCAGGTTCATACACCTGCAACCAATCCAAGGGATACAAAGAAGAAGAAATCAGTAACTATGCAAGTAAATAAGATTTATTCTCAAGCAATGACTAAATCCCAATGTCAATAAACAACTTAGAAATGGCAACATCACCAAATTTGATATGGGGTTTCTAAGTCCTCAAGCAAATCAATGTAGTATTTTAGATGTCAATCCAATCCTGAGTGCTAATGAGCAAAGAGAATGCAAGTCATTGTATTAAGCTAAATGCAATCAAGGGAGTTGTTTTATAAGGTAACAATTAACTAGCAATGTAAGTAAACAAGAGTAACTAAAGCTTTGTTTTAAGGAGATAGGAGAACCTATGGGTAAAGGTATTGACTTTGGGTGATCAAGTTACTATTTAGGGTAAGGTTTCAATCAATCATTCATATCCTATAGGTCTAGACACAATCCTAAGCTAGTTTTTGGTCAAGGTAAAATCTCATTTGCTATCAATCTCTAAACACAAATGGTCATTGGTCTAAATCAATCCAGCAATCATTGAGAACAAGTCTACTAACCAACTAAGCCTTCCTAACATGAAGTGTCCTTGGTTAAACAAGCAAAAAGCATTATTACTTTGGTTTAGGCATTTCATCATACACCTTGTGGGTATGAAATGCCTAATGATGTAATTTAGAAGGATTAAGTCTAATCTAGCATTGGGAATAAGTAATACGCATAGGATAAGAAGGATCTAACACTATCACCCTAGATCATCACTTAATCTCCCTAATCACCCTAACCCATAAGCTCAAAGAGAGTCTACTCACTAATCTTTATCTTTAATCTTAAACTTATGATGGATAGAAGACTAATCATGATTAGAAGAAGAGATAGACTCAAACTACTCAAGAAACAAAGATTATATTAATCAAGTATTCAACTTTTCAGTGTTTTTTTGAGATAAAAGAAGATAAGTTCTAAAATTAGGTCTCCAATGTATTTATAGAAGCCTAAAAATGAGCATAAAAGTTGGGTCTTTTCGTCTGTAGCGACATGCTCGTAGCGATATGCTCTAGTCACTACAGAACATATAATTTTCAGGGGATTTTCTCGTAGCGCCATGCTCTGGTCGCTATGGTCGCTACAGTGGTCGCTACAGACTCTCGGCTTTCTTCCTAGCAACATGCTCTGGTCGCTACAGGGTTGATATGCCTCCAGTAGATAGATCATAACTTCTTCAATATAGCTCCAACTGACTTGAAACAACTTCCATTAAAAAGCTAAATAAATTTCCCATGTCTTCCCAAAAGATGGGATTCAAAAGATATCTTTAAGGTCTCCGTCCATGTTTATCTTTCACCCTTTTTTGGATCACAATGCTCCCAAACACCTCCAATCACTCCATGGCACACTCCAACACCTAATAAGGACATATAAATGCAATATGGACCTAAAGATGCCTAATAACTAATCTACATGATCAAAATGAACTAGAATAAATGGCTGAAATCATGTAAATATGCAAGATATCACTTGTCTTAGCTCTTCATTATCAAGTCATCTTTTATCAAATTGATTTTTTTTTTTTTACTTCCTTGTTGGCTTATTAAGTATATCTGCTAGTATCGGACGATGATCCGATCCCCACAACCTCATATACTTTACAGTAGAGTGATGAAACTTTTCTTGCCAATCTCCATTTCCAATTGCTCGATATAATCTGTATCTGACAATTGTCCTTCCTGCTCGTTTTTCTACCCAAGAGAGCATATTCCCAGTAAATGGGAATTCAAGCATTCCACAGTCAGTTAGCATTTGTTTAATGGGTAGAAATGAGCTATCCGATCTTTGTCTACCACCTTCCTTCTCATTGAGACCAGTAATCTCATTAAATTCTCCAATCATAAACCAAGGCCCTGTTCTTGTAGTTGAGAAACGCGTAAGACATTCCTATACTAAATCTCTAAGTTCTAACACATAATCACCATAAACAAACGTCATAAAGACTTTTATTCCATCAATAACTGCCTCAACGTCAATCATTATATTATTCGAAAATAGAACATTAATTTGAAATTCATCCATATAAAATAAAGCTAAACCACCGCTGAGGCCAAGTGGCTCAATGGTAAATAAACGATCAAATCCTAAGTCGGTCTGAATGTCTTGCAACAGCAGCCTTCTATTCTTCGTCTCGGAAAGAAACACAAGTCATGGGCGATGTTTCTGACACATCTCCGTAAGGCGTCGAACTGTGAGGTCGTTTCCAATCCCTCGACAGTTCCAACTCATTGTCTTCATGGATATAGATTGGATGGGTTTTTGGATCCCATCAAAGCATCATCCTTGCTTGGACTTGCTGTTGCCTTCTTTGAACTGTTGTGATTGTGTTTTGTCTCCTCTTTCCCTCTTGGTAATTTCGGAGCAGATGCAATAGTCGATCGTAACCGAGGAGAACCTCCTAGACGCCAAATGTTCTTGACCCGTTTGTTTTTTTTTTTTTTTTGCTAAAATCATTACCTTTTTTGGCAAAAAAACTAAAATCAGTACCTATAATATATTTAAACCTCAAAATTTTTTTTTGGTAAACATGCTAAGATTGTATTACCCATACAAGTAGCAGAACAACAATCTACAATATAACAAAGAAGATCTAAGCAAACGAGTTTTCTTCCAGAGAGAAGGAAGGAGATAGAAAATTGATTTTATGTTCATACTTGAAAACACACATCAATGTTAAACCTCAAAGTTTAAAAAAAAAAGTTACATTTTAATATCTAAAACTAATAGGGAATTATGCTAATATAGAACAAAAAAACAGCATTCATGTCCCATTACTATAAATCATTTTTTGTCCATTTTTTCTCCCTTTTACCCTTTCTATTTACAAAAATTAATAAAATTAATAATTCTATGACTCGAAAAATATATAAAAATACATAGAAGTGATGAAATACCTATATACACAAAATGAAATTTTTAATATTTTCAAAAACTTGTTAAATTAAAAATTTTAATTACGTTCTACGAAGAGTAGAACTCATATTCTACGATAAATCGCATAGTAGAACTCATATTCCTCGTTAAACAGTAAACTCTACAATTTTTAGAAGCTATATTCTACGTCTGTATAGGACTCTACATATTTTAGAATCTATATTCTACGTTTATATAGAATTCTACAAAATAACTGAATGCGGGTTCTACATTTTAAGTCACTTCTACATATCTCAGAATACGTAATCTACACATAACTTAAACCTCTACTATTAGTAGAATTTGCTTACAGTGAGACGTTAGTAATTCTACTTTCTGTAGAAGATAGCTTCTACGGATAAGATTAAACAAAAATCTGAAAATTTGGGAAAATATTTAGGAAAATATTCAAATTTTTTTTTTAATAATTGCACTTACCTTAAACTTGGGAAACTGATTTCTCACGTCTCCCAAATCCCTTATGTGTCGACTCCATTGTTTCTTCTTCATCCAACCTACTCTCCATTATTTCTCTTTTGATTTTTCACAAATTTTACTGTGTGATGCATATCTATACCACTTGAGATGTATGGGAGTTAAGTACTACAATGGGATGGGTGTTTTCGGCTGATGAAAAAGGGGGTAGGTTACAGTTATTGGAATCAAGTTCTACATTGGAGGATTTAAAGAGAATGGTGTTTGAGGATTTTGATATGGAAGAAGTCAAATTGGTCGATATGGTAGCCATATCCTTAAGTAATTTGGATGAAACATATCTATGCCATCATTATTTGTAATGGAAGCCTCTCAGTAACTTAATCTTCGATTCTTATTACTTCCATTTCTTTGGACAAATTTATTGTTTTATTTAAATAAAAAACTTAAAAGTATCTGCTGCATCTTGTCCTGTGAATAATATATAACTGCCAACGTCTTTTCTTATTGCTGGTCTTCTCGAGTGATACATCGATGAAGTGTGCAGAAATAGTTTTTAAAAAGTAACGATCAAAGAAAAGACTGTAAAATTAAAAGAAAGTGCGTCGACTTAAGAAAAAAAAAACAAAAAAATATCACCAACTTCTGGTCGAATGTTTGGTATATGTTGTTAATATTCTGTGACGCAATACATAGAAGAAACAACTGGTTTTCACTCAGGTTCTCTCCGGAGCAGCTTTTCCTTTTCTGGACCGTTTTCTTGTCCTCTTTTCTGTACCGCTTTTACCACCTTTCTTGCCCTGAAAATCCCAAAAAACATTGGAGAAATTTAGTCACACCATCCTATTAAGCAAAAGCTGTCAAAAGTTTATTTATCTAACCTCTTGTCCACCAGGTTTCGATTCAGCTTTGGGTTTTGATTGAGGTTTCTTGGTATCTGTCACCTTCTTTTTCTTCATGCATGAAAGTGGATTGGACCCTGCAAAGTTTTTGAGACAATAATGTTAGTTCATCAAAGAGACTCAATGTAATCCCAAAGGTTTTAGAACGAAAAATATGATGGTTAACATGTTCTTTGCTATATGTTACTAGCGTGAATGTACATTACCTTTGCTCTATTTCGCTTGAATTGGGGTCTATCCTTCACACCGAGTCCATTTCTTGTACTGACCACTCGAGGTGTTTCCCATTGTTCGTCTTCAGCTGTTCCTTCTCCTCTTCTAGAAGCTAAGATTCTCGCAGACTGTTTCTCCAACATCCACTTCTCTGCATCGGTCATAATTAACCTCTTACAAGTTATACAACAACAAGGTCTGGCACACTAACAAAAAAAACCTCACATTCAGTACATAAAGCTCATCATTTCAATCACACCAAATAAACTTCATAAACATTATACAAATTCCATGCCTGCAACTTCATAAGCTCATCATATCAATCATATAAAATCCATTCATACACATTATACAAAAAAAAACCCATACTTTATATAGGTTGATTAAGCTTACCATATCAATAATAGCAAATCATTTTCATACACATTACATTTAAAAAAAAAACACTTTATATACATTGACTCAGTTCATCATATCAATTGCCTTAAAAATCGAATCCTAAATTCTCAAAAGTTTGTTAACTGATCTCTCACACCAAATCCTACAAGACAAACAAGTTCACACACAACCAACCCATCTCTTGGACAGATAAAATCAAAGTAAAGATAACGACGACTTACGTTGCAGTGCTAAGCATCTGAGCAGCCTCAAGCGACTCCATAAAATCTTTACCCAGTTTCTGCAACTCCGCAACCACACACTTAGTGGTGAAAAGCTTTACGGGACCTTCGAGTAGCTCGGAGATGACTGTGTCGGCGGGAGTGATCTCACGAGAAACGAGATGGTGGACGAAAGTACCATCGCAAAGGACTTGAAGGGCTGTCGGAAACCGAAACACACAGTGAAGAATCTCACTGTTCTTCTGTTCTTCTTCTGTCTCTTCACTCTCATCTTCTCTTCTCTCTAGATAGGAAACGGATTTTCAGAGGCGAGGAAGGTGGGATTAGGGTTTTAGAGTTTAGGGTCTGGTGATGAACGCCGATGGGTTTCGGGAGAGAGGACACTTATTTGTTTGGTTCGTCGGTTTAGAAATAATTAGTTTGCTATGGTAAAATGAAATCGAGTCACTTGTTCTCTCTACCCATCGTCGCCGAATGAGATGATTTCGCCTGAGAAGATCTCCCCATCGATTTCACCGGAGAGGACACAATCGCCTTTGCCGGAGAAGACACAATCACCTTTGTTTTCTTCTCGAAAGAGAGAAATGGTTTACCAAATTAGGGTTACGGGAGAGTGAAAGGGATATTCCCTTTTTGTTTTTATTATTATTTTAATCCCCTTAGTTTTGAATTTGATTAATATTTTATAAATTGAATTCTAATTAAATTTTTTGTTTAATTACATTAATTTAGGGTTACTTCTGGGATTATAAAAAATATTATACTAAATGGATAAGAGTAATAAGGATTTATACTAAAATGACATAAAGGCTGTTCTTTTGTTCTATATTAGCATAATTCCCAAACTAATATGGAAAATTAATTAAATCCCATTGTATAACTTTAAAAGTAGTTAGTACACCTTGTTGATGTGCTTTTATGGATCTCACTACGGTCCCACGCCCTATATTGAAGAAACAAACAATACGTTTGTTAAATCCATAACTACGAGAGTGTTTGTGGTTGGGTAGATACGTACTATGTATTATCAGCTAAAATCCAAAGAAAATGCAAAAAACTAAAGGTACAATTATCAGCTAAAAGTATTCAAAAAAATTTAAAATTCAAATAAAATGCAAAAAACTAAAGGTACAATTATCAGCTAAAAATTAAAAATCGCACTCATTTTTTAGCAATTGTTTTTTTTTAAAATGAAAATTGTGGAAGATTTTTTATTTTTAAAGAAAAAATAAAATTTTATTTTTTAATTTCACAAATTAATTTTATAAAAAATTTCTTTATTCTTACAATTTTTTGGAATTTGAAAGATCTTTTTAAGTTTTTAGAGAATTTTTTTTATATTCAATCAGTACCAAATAAAATTAAATATGTTAGTAACTTCTTTAAAATTTTCACTAGCTCGGTGATAAAATACCTTGCTATTAGACCCAACCAACTTGGGTTCGAATCCATGGGTCTATTTGTTTTTAATTTCAAATCATGTATAACAACATCGTTTCATCTCATGAAAACAACGTCGTTTCACTTAACGCCAACATTTAAAGTCTAGTTAACCGTGTCTTAACTGTAAGTGTTAATATTGTCAGTCAATCCTAAGTTGCTTAATAAACTAAAAAAAACAACAAAAGTAAAAGTATTTTTTGGAAATTCGCGCAAAGTTCGTGCTTTTTTGACCGAATTCTCAATACTTATTATCTAATATCTCCTATTATCTAATATATTATTTTCCTATATTTGAGCATCATAAATCTTCTAATTTCGTCAACCAACCATATGGAAATATTCCACATAATTGCATCTTAATGTTTTCTTTTTATTCTCTGAAACATGTGTAACACATAACTCTCCATGTGTTACACATGTACACGAACCAAAACTCCACCACTGCGATAACTATTCAAACACCAAATTCTGGAGCTTACATTCTCTCCCTTTTTATTGATCGGTTATCTTTTATCTGTAATAATATTCCATGTGTCTCTATTGATATAAAACTATGTATCTCTGATGGCCAAATAGCCGTACATATTTGGCCACATTGTATACCAATCTTATAATTATCCGGTTATTTGTAATGTTTGTTGGTTATTTAAATTATTGACCAGTTATCTTTAATGTTTGTTGGTTATTTAAATTATTGGTCAGTTATCTTTTATCTGTAATAATATTCTCTATTGATATAAAACTATGTATCTCTGATGGTTGTGGTTAATTCTAATGAATGTTGGTTATTATTTAGTCACCTCAGTTAACATATAATATGACAGTCAATATTACGTTATACTCAAATGATATAACATGTATGCTTCACAAAATCATGTTGTTCATATCCAATGGGTAGGTAGTATATACTAATTATCTGGATATCACTACTCTTAGCCAATGTTTTTAATCTATGGTCGGTTTAACATTGTGAACCCAAAACGAAAGAATTTTCAAGTAATTAATGTTGGTTTGTTAATCCAGTAAAAAAAAAAAAGAACACACTTAGCGCAAAATTGTTATCCGGATATAATATAATCCTAAAATCATGAGTGGATTCAGACACAACACCATTATGGAACAACCTTCGATGTTTCTCAGATTTCTTCCTTAAACTCCGTCCACTCTTATCACACCAGAAATCTTGTTCTACATCCCAAATAAATAAATATATGGATGTGCGAGGAGGAAGAAGATATAGTGAGAATGGATGTGCGAGGAGGGAGAAAGCAAAAACGAGGGAGACGATTGCGGTGTAAGGTGAAACTTGAAATAGGTGAGATTCTTACATATTCTGGAGATGGAGTAGGTGATAGAGTCATGTCTAATGAATGAGCTCCGATCTATGAGTTCCTTTCATAGAAAGTGTGAGAGTTGTTGTTTCGTGGTTGAGGTTGAGTAGCTTGTTGGTTGGTGACAAGGAGGATTGTCGGAGAAAACATTGGCGTTGGTGATGGTTTATGTGTGGCGGATTGACCGAGAACCTGTGGAGACATGGATAATTTAATTTTAGACGAGAGAGAGACAGGAAAAAATGAAAAAATAATAAGTTTCGTTTAGATACAAATGAATATACAAAAATGTTAATAAATTCACAATAGGAAAAGTAGAGGTAACAGTGTAATAAAAAAAAGGAACAGTGAAAATTCCATCTTTGCAAATTAAGATGTTATGTTTGTATAGGGGTGCTAATTTCTCTAAATTTTGCCACGAAATTTTAAAACGATAATTAATTTATGACAAAAATTAAGTAAAAAATGACAACTATTCTGAAATGGAGGGAGTATTAGACAAAAACATTTTATATCATCAAAGCAAAAAAAATTTATCAATCTATCTATAGCTAGAAAAACAAAAACGGTATCCGCACTTTTTAAGCGCAGATCAAAAAATCTAGTTTAGCTTATTTTTAAAAAGCACGGATCAAAAATCTAGTTTAGGTTATTTTAAAAAAAAATCCCTTATTCTTGCTTTCATTCTTTTGTTTTAGTTTCGATGGCATGTTTTTTTTGTCAACTTCATCATTTTATTAACCCACATATAATAAAAGAGTACCACTGTTAAAAACACAAATTACATAAGAATATACGTGTATGTTTAACAACGAAAAGCTTCTATACATCAGGAAAAGAACATGCATTCCTCTCTAGCAACTTCACCACCATCCGACCAGTGATGTAGCTTGTCTTCCTTTTCTTAACACCTTTATCTTCTGTCTGATTGTACTCCTAGTATTATCACCTCCGCCTTAACCGCAACTCTTGACAGATGCTCCTACAATCACCAGAAATTAAAACTGGGAAAGCCCAATTAACTTTAGAATCGATCCTTTATTAGACCATCTTAAAAGACACCAACTCTGCTGAATCGGTTGGCAAGTTTATAACGGTGTTAAAATTAAATATATACTATCTTTACTATATATATAATACTAGTGGTTTCTCCGCGCTTCGCGTGGAATCGTTGAATTTGTGTTTCGATAAAAAAAATATTTACTTGGGAGGCTTATGTTCTGTCACATAACTGGTGCTGTATGATCATTCTTTTCAAATGTTTGTTGATCCTTTTGCTCATTTTATGTGTCTATTTGTTGAACCAATTGTGGATTTGTATTCGTATGGGTGTATCGAAATGCTGGTTTTGGTGCAAAATAAACCATTATGCTTTGTGTGGTTTTGAATGAAGTATTGACAGCTTTTTAAAAAATTTGATAGGTGATGTTTTTGGGCATCGTAATTAATGTATGATGTATATGGGTTTGACAGAGCTAGAAGCCATATGTTACATAGTTAAGGGGTTCAATACTTTGTATCTTTTCAAAAATTGTGAGAGTGTATTTAGAGACTGATGAAACCATGGTTATTAAGGTATTAAGAAAGAAAGAGGTGAAGTGTCTTTTCTGTGTTATTTATTAATGTAATCATATTTAGACTATTTTTGGTAAACATGTTAAGTCTCATACTCAGACTATTTTTAAAGGGAATAGCTGAAACATAGTTAATAATTCAAATGTGCCAAGTAAAATGGAGTAAGTGTAATAAAAAAAAATTAAAACGCAAATCATAATTTATTTTTGTACTCTTATACATTTTTGAATAAATTGATATTTTCACCTTTTGAATACTTATTCTTAAATTTTGATTTAGATAATATGACCTATTACCACTTGCCACCTATCATCATCGTTACTACTAAAACCACATGTCACTTATCATTATCATCACTTGAGGTCAGTATGTATTACAGAACTGTTGTCTCCACTCGAGATGCATTTGAAGCACTTCTGCTTATGTACAAATTACAATTTGTTATTTTTGCTATTTACATGTGCAATTCGTTTTTCTGATTTCTTTCTTTATTTGAAATGTATGTGATGTCTTTGTTATCGGTGTCTTAGTTATTGTGTTGTAATAGTGTGATGTGATCAGTATATTGGATTTGTAAATATTTTCCATTATAGATATTTGAATTTTTTGTAGTTAATCCCTCGAGTTTATTATGTAAGTTGTTTTCTATGATGATTTTGTGTGATGCAACAATTTGGTCGTTTATACGGATGTCTAGAGGTGTTCAATTCGGTAAAAGCGGACGAAATTATAGAAAATGATTGGGTTTGGTAATACCAAATATACCAAATGGATGTTATTTTTTTTTTTATACCATAATATATAGATATGGTTTGGTATATAAACCAGCCAAACTGAATCAATTGAAAAAATCGATCAATTAAAGTATAGTACTATAGTTATATGTAAATTATATAATATAAGTAATAATATATACATAATTTGTTTTATTGTTATGATTTTCATACTTAAAATGTTGATTTTAGTAATTTAATATTTTATTTTAAGTTATAAGTTATTTCATTTTTTTGTTGACAAGTATGTGTACTAATATTTATTTATTAATCATATGTGTGAAAAATATGTGTACTATTTTTCTTATTTTTATCTATAAAAACTATTATTATTATTAGTAGT